ATCGTGAGAAAAGCTGATTAAATTTTAAAAATCTAGTCACTTTTCGTTTGATTGATGAAAGAAAATGCGCTTTATGGAAAAAAATGCGCTTAAAAGGAAAAAAAAGGAATAGGGAATTTAACGAAACCGTTAAATCTATTCAAACATTTCATCTATAACTTAGATTCCATATACTTTATATATTTTAAATTCTATATATTAAGATAGAAATAAAAACAAAATATTATTCTTTCGATTTTTAATTCTTTCGAGAATTAGATGATTATATATACTAAATTTGAAAAGAGATAATGTTAAATGTTCTTTAGAATAAATCCATTCTTATCTCAATAATCTCGATTATTTAAATAATATTTTTTATCACATCACTTTTTAATCATTGAATCAAATAATATCAAAGAATTAAAAAGAAATGACAAATGCTTAGGTTCAAGTCGGTCACTAAAAAAAAAAAATAAAAACACACAAATGCATGACACATATCGACATCAGAAAAGTATGCATCCTGCTTAGCGACGTATCTGGCTGATACACGGTCATAGAATATTGATATGTAAATATAGCGGCACCGGTAGCGGCGGTGCAACGGCGGTTTATAGGGGCGCTAGCAGGTTAACGAGCGACTCGCAGAGTGCGCGACGGCGGGGTAAAGAGATAGATAGGAAAGTTAAGAGTGAGAGAGACTCTGAGAATGAAAGGAAAAGAGAGGTGGGTAGGGTCTCCCAAAGTCTGTAGGTAGGTTGATGGAGGTCGAGGGTGAGACAGATGGATGGATGGATAGATAGATAGGTGGTGAGAGCGAGGAAAAAGAAAAGAATGAGAAAACGACAGACAAAAGAGAAAAAGAAGAGAAAGATGGAAAACAGTGAGAGAGAAAAGGAGAAAGAGAGTTAAAGGAAGGAGAGACAAAGAGAGGTAAAATACAGTAGAGAGAGAAAGAGAGAGAGAGAGAGTGTAAGAGAGTGTGAGCACGAGAACAGCGGTAGGGGTAGAAAGCGGTAGCAGGAGACCAAAGTAGGGTGAGGTAGCATTGGGATGGGCGAGCGAAGAGTCGAGGGGTAGGGGAGTTGGGTCGCTGCCGGCAGTATAACAGAGACGGTCGGGCGTGCCGCGGAGCGTGCCACCAAAGGGGATGAGAATTTTCCACAGGTTGGAAAATTATTGTCGCAACTGATTCAAATTGAAATTTCGTAAAAAAATTAAATCGCACGTTAATGAGCATATGCATCTTACGTAAAGGTTACTTTCCATTTCAAAGAATGAATCAGAGAGAAAAATTTTTTTTTACGATTTGGAATAAATAATGGAATCACATGCATAAATGACAGTGCGGACAATAGTAAGTCAGTGGTGTATAGGGACATGCCCTGCGGGACACGGAACGGGGTGGTTGGAACGGGCCGCGGAAACACGGAGAGGGCGGGAACACGTCGGTCGAGCGAGGGTTGCCACGCTGCGAGCTGGAGAACGGGGATATAGGAGGGTGACTATGGCTTCGTATGTATGCCTCTCTACGAATAGACTTTTATAACAGTGTGCGAGCTCGCCAGCGCGCGTGACTGAAACCGCCAGTGGTACTATCTACGAGGGCACGTAGAGTCGAAGGGTATCATCTATAGACGAACACCTGGAAGAGATGTATCCTGTCGCTTCACCGCGACGTGTAAAATCTCTCTATCTTTCTCTTCACCTCCACCGATCTTCTCACGTCTGCATTTTTCCTCCTCGATTCAACAATCTTGTTCATTCGTTGCATTCTTTTCAAAGATTTAACTAAGTAAAAGTACATACTTTTATTACATTCTCTCTTTCTCCCCCTTCTCTTGCTTCGTTTATCAATTCATTGATAATCGTTTATCAAATTTTCTTACCGAGTCCAGTATTATCGATATTTTTTTTCTTTTCATTTTTTATTTCTGTTATTTATTTTTAATATATCTCTGATCTAAATTCTATAAAACTAGGATATTAATTTTGTGAAAAATTAAGATTGTTTTTTGAGAAAAAAATAACTTGAGAAAAATAAATAATTGATAGATATGAAAAAAAATAAACATCAAGAATATTTAAAACACAATGAAATATATAGAAAAATCAAACTGATCAAAATTATCAACATAAATCATTTGATTTCTCAGAAATAGAATATTTAATGCAAAAAATTTAAAATTCATAAAAAGCAAAATTAGTTCAATTTCATTTTTCAATCTTAGTTCAATTTCTAAATGATTCATGTTATTTATTAATTTCTAAAAGAAACAAAGTAAATAAATATTTTATTTTAGCTTATTTTTTTATTTTCTTAAATATGCACAAATATAGACAATTTAAATGCGATAAAAAACCAAGTCCTAATCATATAATTTGTAAATTTATAATGAACAGGAATAAATTGATTGGAATTTTCAGAAACGAAGACATATTTAAACGGTATCAACCAACGCTAGTATCGTGCACATTTGAACTACATATTAGTTTTTAATTAAAACGTGAATTAATGAAATGACGAAAGTAATGCAGACTTCTTGAAAAATACACACAACTCCACTGCGAGGAGACATAACCGTATTCCTCTTGGAAATGGTAGTGTGAAAGGAAACAGCCACCTCGTCTGCTTAGATGGTGGTGGGTAGCCGTGGGTAGATGAGAAGAATCCAAAACGATCGGAAGACTGAGAGAGAGAAAGAATGAAAAGAAAGAGAAGAGGCGAACAGCTAGGCGAGCATTAAATCGGAGAAAGATAGAGAGAAGATCGCGGCGGCAAAGGATAGTCGAAGTGGGAGGGATAGACGGGTGGAAAACGTTACGAGGGATCGGGAGAAAACGCAGCGGGTGTTGGCAGGCGGAGGGAGACGAGTACGATAGCGGCGCTGCGGCGTAACGACGCTATAACGCGAGCCGCCGGGTGATTACCTACCACCTCCGTACCCCGTTTACCCTCGTGCGTCGAGCGGTGCGCTTGTCGAGCCACGCCACGCCACACTGCGCCACGCCGTGCCGCGCCGTGTCGTGCCATGCCACTCGATACCACGCCGCGCGCCACGCCATCTCGCGATACGGCGTCACACTACGCTACCCCCTCCCCGCATCATACCACGCCATGCTATCGCGTTGACCGTACTATGCCACTACCACCGCGTCGGTAGCTCTGGATGCTACGCCATCGACCCGACATTACGCCCTACGAATTCCTCTCTTCCTCCATCTTTCTTTGCCTCTTTCGCATCCTGTTCTTCTCAGCCAAGTCCGTGGTGCACCGATCGGCGGCCTCGTGTGCCAGTGTCATATGTGTTGATCGCGACAGCCGCGTGTTCGTGTCGTGGTAAGCTCGACTAGCGAGGAACGTCGACGCCGTAAACGCGACGCCCTCGTAACGATGCCACCGGAGAGGTAAGAGGAGGCGGGTTTCAGAGCGGAGTGGCCTCTAGGCACGTCCGTATATACCCCCCACATACCTGACTCTGTCGTCTGCAACATAGCAAGAACGTATACGTGCGTGTAGTCCTACTTCTTCGTTCGTGTTGGTCGCCTATCTAGTTGGTCAGCTCTGCTTCGCCGACTCGAATCGCTCGATTCTCGTTAGAGGTTTCTAATGTCTACCATCTCATGGTTGCCTCTAACTTTTTTTTATTTTTCTTTTCTTGAATCGAAAAGGAAATTTTTATTTTATTCCCCTTGAATCGAAAAGGAAATTTTTATTTTATTCCGATTAAAAATACGTATTAGATACTTTCTTTTTTTTTTTTTTTGCTTCTTTTTTTTTGAATAAGTAGAATTTAAATACAGAAAGGCATTGAAAAAAAGAATGTTTTCATTGATATTTTTAAAAACCAACTTATAAATTATTAATAACTATAATTATTAATTATTAATAATTTCAGCTTTTATTTTCTACTCGTAGTCGATATCTATGAACTTAACAAATAAAAAACTTTTCGATTTTTAAATTTCCACTTGCTACTTTTTCTCTTTTTCAGTGTTTTGCTTTATCTTGATTTCATTACTTTATTCCACTTCCTTTCTCTCTTTTTATTCTTTTAAAATATATAAAAATTCTAAAATCATATTAGTTTTGAAACATTTTGTTTATTTCTTCATTTTTTTTTTATTAATTGCATTATACATTTAATCGATCAGTTAATTAACACATTGATCATCACGTCAGTTTTATATGTATATGTTTTGCTCTAAAAACAATAGAATAAAATTTTTATTATCCTAAATATATAATTATAAAGCATTGATTAGTATCATTAAATAAGATCAAATTCCTATTAATATTTTGTGTTCATTCTGTTCATTCATAATCACCGTGAAATAATAACACATTTGATTATTTTTAACACATCATCATTGATTTATAAACAAAAATATATGATACTTGCAATGCATCGAATGCAATATTGCGATAAAAGATACTTATTATTAAACAGTACTTTTTATATTACAATTTTTTCTAATTAATTATACATTTTACATTTTTTAATCTAATTCTTTTTGATTATTTACATTATTTGATATTTTTTTATCGATGTCATTTATTTTATTTTAATCCATCCTATAAATATAATAATATCAATAATAACGATTGGATTAACAAGAAAAAATTCATTACATGTGACTATCATAATTGTCAATATGTTAAGTGGATAGTTTTTGATAATAAAAGAATAATATAATGGAAAATAAATCAAAATAGATTATTTTGGTGAACGAATCACATATATTTTTCATATCGAAACTCTATTATTCATTCTATGGAACTTTAAATATACTCCTTTGTACTGAAGATAAAAGTTGATGACACATAACACATGCCAGTAAAGATCACATGTATTGTTACTTTCCTCATTTTCTTTACTAACTTTATTGCTAGTCTGAGATATTTAAAATATACAGAAATATTTTTATTCTGCTTTTTTTTTTAAATTTAATTAATAAATTAATAGTACTATTAGTTTCATGTGAGAAAAAATTTTTACTTATCTTTTTAAAAACTGTAAAAATAAATTCAAAAAATGAATTTTTCTTTCGTATATATTATTTCTTAATTAATTTTTAAGTTACAAATAATTGTAAATAATAGTGAATCAAAAAGAAAAAATTATAATCGATTCTATGATAAAAGCAATAAGAACATAATTTCTTTTCAAAAAAAATAAAATATTTTTCAATTTATTTTATTTCAGATAAGTAATTGAAAGAATCTCTATATCGATTAATTAATTTAATTTTCAATTAAGTAAATTAAAAATAAAATAAAAAAGAAATCAAAAATCTAAGTTTGACAACTTTCTTCCATTATTTCCATTTCTTCACACTCCCTGTTCGGTCTTTGTCTTTCTTCTCACGAAATCAAACATAAATTCATACGTGGTAAGTGAGACTCGCGTGCAGGCATACCGTCGATCGTTTGGTGTGGATATGTATGCGCACTCGCATAATAGCCTCGTTCCTGGCGCATTCGATGCTAGATACGTGAGACGTCGCGTAGATCCCTTCCAAGAGTTTGGGTCTCTGCGATAAACGATACTGTGCCACGCCACCCTAGGTCACGCTAGATGTAGTCTGGCGTGGCCTCGTGCCGTGAATCGGCAGGGGAATGGTCAGAGAAATAGTCACCACGGCATGGTATAGCAACGTGCTATTGGCGGCGCAACACGACGCTAACTTAACGGAGATAGCTTCGTAATAGTACCAGAACTTGATAAACCTTTGCAAAAAAAAAAAAAAAAAAAATACGAATAAGAAAATGCTTGGTTCAATTTCAATTCGAACTATAGGATTCTACTGCTCGTTTCAATTAAGATGTAAGTCGATGACGAAAAGTATGCTTTTTGAAATATATATATAAGTATATATATTATTAACTGCAAGTATATAATACATCTGTAAGGAATACGAAATTCGAGCCTGATTTCAATGATCTTAATCGATTGTAGAGAATAGCAGCTAGTGAAAAACGAAGAAGGATTGAAATCATTTGAAGAAATTTACGATATATTGTTTCAATATGATGTCACTTACTTCACTGAATGCAAGTGAATTCTTTCAATATTGGAGATGACTTTTAAATATATATATTTGCAATAAGAAACCGACCTATAACTTATCGAATATGTTTTTACAACAGGAAATCGAGAAATCTAAAAATTCATAGGAAAAATCTTAAATAATTCTTGATATTCAATTATAGAAGTTAAAACATATTGAAATGTTAAGAGAGTATGAAATGAACTTATGCTTCTTTTTATAAGAAAGGAGCAATAAGTTGGTAAAAAGTGAAAGTATAAAATATCTAATTTGATGAAGTAAAAAAATCGAAACGCACCTCGTATAGATTTCTGACGAACGATTTATCCAGTCAGATGGTTGGTTAGCTTGATAGGATGGGTAGGTGGCTGGATAGGTGGGTGGTTGGGTGGGTGGGAAACATGGATGGTTGGATAGTTGGGTGGTTCGGTGGTTAAGCGGTCGAATGGCCGTGCGATTCAAGTAAAACAGAAACGCGGGGTGAGGAAAGTGAGAGGAAAAGGTAGGGAACTAAAACAGGAAGGAAAGGGAAATAGGAAAGAGAAAAGAAATAGGAGAGAGTGACGACGGTATTGGATGGTGCGTCGTTAACGATAACGACGGCCACCGATTGTCCCGACGACGCCGGTCTGCACTCCGACGTTTCCCGCACTACTGCCGCTTCCCCTCCGACCTCTGGCTTGACGACACTCGGCCTCGAGCCGCCTTATTGCCGCGATAAATATAGAGCCTACTCCTCGAAAGCGTCTACCCACTCTATTTGGACTTTCTTCTTCCTCGTTGAATCTCTCCTTCTACTCCAAATTTTTAATTTTCTTGCTCTATATATATTTATATAATATATATATATATTTTTTTTTTAACTTTCTTATTCTGCAAATACAAAATGAAAAGTTATGAAAGGTGAGAAAATTATTAGGATATTCGGAAAAAATAAATTAAAGAAGTGATTGCAGAGATTGAAGAACAAACACGAAAAATATATGCACAAATGTCGATTGGATTTATTTATAAGCAATTTAATGTTACACTAAGTGAAATGGAATGAAGATAGGTGCAATAGAGAATGCAAATTAAAATTGTTAATTAATAAATAAATCTTGATCATTTTTGTATATCGACTTTTGTGTTTGTTTTAGAATCATCCTTATCATTCCAATTCTTAGAATCATCCTATTTTTTATCCATTATATAAAAACAGATATATTATTTATTAAGAAATTTTTACTTTGCAAAAATTCAAATATATAATTTAAAAAAAATATAATTTTTTTTGTAATTATAAAAATTAATTTGTCGAACTTATCGATAAAATAATAAAAAAATATGAAAAAGATCTGACAAAACTGACCTAATCCAAATGATACAATAAGTATAATTCGTTAATTTGATCATTAGACTAATTAGCTGATTTTTTTTTTTTTTTTTTACGTTCACGATGTTCAACCAGTTTCCACTTGCAAGTATAAGTGCGCCAAGTCTCTCTTTACCAGGCCCGACAGAGCGTCGTAATTTCAGCAAGAATAGAACGAGGTCGTGAACCAGACGTCCAACGAACAAACGTCAGACGAAAAGAGAAATGGTGAGGAGGTAGAAGAGAGAAAAGCAAAGATCGAAAGAACGAACAGAAACGGTCATATAGGTGGATGATGAGTTAGAGGAAGAAAAAGTAAGAGGAAAAGAGAACTGCCGAGAGAGGAACCTTGTTACAAAATCATTTCGTCGGCAGTACGATGGATCGATCGTAGCCATTTTGTATTCAGACATCGAAATACTGAGTTCAATGATTAATTATTGTATGCTTTGCTCTTTTTTCCTTTTCCTGCTGTCATGGATGCAATGAATTTGATTTGAAATCTCTTTTCTACTCTCCACATTAAGCGATAACGTTCTTATAATCTCGATGTAAATCTTTAATATAACAGTTATTTCGATAAGAGTTTTGAAAAAAATTACAAAATTTTTTAAAATTTATAAAATTTTAAAAAAATTTTGAAATATTATTTTTTAATCAATAATTTTTCAGTTTCTTTTTTTTATTACTACCCGTTATAGTGCACATTATCGTATAGTGTATATTATATAGCGCAAATTTAAAGCGGAAAATATCTTAAAGATGACAGTTCCATTCGAACAGCACAAGTTTCATTTAAATATAAAATTCGTGAAAAAACTTTTTTTTGATGAAATAAATGATTGAGCATGAAAAAGTGTAAATAAAAATAAGAATAAATAAGTAATAAGATAAATAATTTGTTGCTCTTTCAAAATAGAAATAAAGAAATATAATATAATAAGAGAGATAAAAAATGCAACTTATTCACAAATTCTTCAAATTTTTAGAATAAATCAATACAATACTCTTATTTGCAATCTTCTATGAATAAAAAATAATTTCGTATTTTCTCTTTTGTGGTTAAGATTTTTTTATTGTTTAAAATTTAAGATAACGCAATATCAAGTTAATTCATCTGTAAAATATTTTTATAATTTTATTCTCATTTATAGTATTATCTATTACTGAATATCTAAATGATTAACAATAAATCTTACAATCTTATTCTCACTGGTTGTATTTGCACAATCATAATCTATACATAATTAAATATGATCTATAATATATAATTAAAGACTGGATATAACAAACATTGAAAATATTAAAGGAATATTTTCGAAAGAATATTTTGATTATTAAAATGTAATATATATAGATAATATATAAAAATTTATTTTTTATGTATCATATTATATATTTTTAATTTAATAATTTAAAAAAATTTTAATTAACAAATATGATAATTATAAATATAATATTAATGATACAATATTATGGCATTTACAACTTTTTTTTAAGTCTTTTTCTTAATCTTAGCTATATTTATTATAAATCTATTAAATCGTTCAGAAATAAAATGTAGTAAAATTGTTAATCTTTCATGATTCTTCAAACGTTATAATAATAATATATCTATCTAATTTTTGGATAAAATACTGAAAATATCTGCTTTGAAAAAATGAAATGGAATGAATCAAAAAAACGAGAGAGAGAGAGAGAGAGAGAGAGAGAGAGAGAGAGAGAGATCAAACAAAAATGATACAGAATTGACGAGTAAATCAACAATTGATAACTTTATGACGACATATTGTATAATTACATGTATAATTATTCGAATAGAGTAAAAAAAAAATTACAAATTATAGAATTACAAAGATATGAATTCTCAACTTATCTAGTGATATCATTCGTTAATATGTCTATGGCCTGCAAACATTTATATATATGGCTATAATATATCTATCTATATTGGCAGCATCCCGAAATTTAAACATCGGCTTACCGCAAACCGATTACAAATTTTTCCACACGAATATCCTGTCAGCAATTTTCTGGCGAATATCTCGCCAACATAGATATCTATTTCGTTTTTTTTTTCTTGCTGATTTTTACTCTCTACCTGAGTTTTTGTTTTTACTTCAAATGCATCGATCGTCTGCATATGCTTGCTGATTCTCATTCACCGTATCCATATAATTGTTGTAATATAATCGATGATTATAAAGAATATAACATGAAAAGAAGATAAATGAAGAAAGAGAAGAAATTGATTTAAAAAAAAGAATTTTGATAAAATCTGCAACACATTCGGAAATGCAATAAAATATGTTGTTTATAATTTAATTTTTATATAAATTTATAGTTTTTGTAAAAAAAGATATTATTCAAAAATCATTTTTTATAAAAAAGATAAAAATGTATATTGAATTGTGAACTTAATTATCAATCATCAAAGATATAAAGGATAATTAAAATACAAAAAAATTGGAATATAATTAAGATTGGAATAAAATGTATAATATAATTTTTAAATTTATAATTTTCATTCAAATAATATTATTTGAAAATTATTTCTTACAAAAATAATAAAAATGTATAATAATATAAACCAGTTATTATTATGAAAGATCATCGATGAAAATGGATGAATTAAAAAAAGATTGAATATGATAGCCAAATTTAATTTTTTACGTAATTTTTTACGTAAAAAGTAGAAATGGATATAAGATACAGCTAGCAGCACATAGCACGACATCTATTATTCGTCACATTATGTGTATTTCATATGTGACTCTATACTATGCTACAATACTGCTCTTTTCAGATTAATTATCTTAATGTTTTGAAATATTTAAGAAAAATTAATAAACAACAAAGTTTTTATTTTTTATTAAAAATAAAAAATTTAATATTTCGTAATAGTTTATATTATTTTTTAGAATATATGTGTAGCAAATAATACATCATTAATATAGTTATCTATATATTTTGATTAACTAGATGTTAAAATATCGTGCAATGTTTAATCAATGATTGTTATTAATTATACTTGATAAATGAAGATAAAAATAATATATAATCATATTTTAAAAACAAGATAATCACAGAAAAAAAATTTAAGGTAATTCTATTTTGATCTTCTCATTTTTATATTATTTAATATAAAAAAAATATAAATTTAAAAAATTATTAACTTGTCAAAAACTAATTCATGAGATTCATCCAATCAATTAAATTCGCATTTCATAAAACTTTTTTATAGATCTGCACATTATATATATATATAGTATATAATATATATAGTATTCAATATAGTATTGAAAAAGAATCATAAATGATAAGCAATCAATTATTAGAATTATGGATCTAGTAATTCATCTAGTGATTCAAAATAAAAGAATGAAACAAGAAAACAAAAAAAGAAAACAGGTTAAAATGAAAGAGTTAAGTAAATCTAATAGAAATTGAGATTGATAATTATTATATTACAATTATCAAATATGAAACTTAAAATTGTAATTAAAAGATCAATTATATATAAAAATTACGTGAAATTTGAAATTAAAATTTTTCAACGAGATCTTTATTTTATAAAGTTGAAATTATACATTTTTAAGTATAAAATGGAAACGCTGAAACAAAAAATTAACAATGAAAGATAATATTGTTCGATATGTATGTGATTTTATAACTTTCAATTTTTTATTATTCTTTATAGGTTCTAATATGTTAAATACTAATCTGCAAACAGTTTTTCAAAATCCACATTTTTTAAAAAAATCAATTCTAAAAAAATTGAAATTCTTTTTAATTTTAGAAATATTTATTTTTACAGTAATAGTTATTCAGTTGTTCTTGATTTAAAATAATTCAATAAATTTTCACGAACACTATGTAAATAGTTATTAGATTATAAACATCTAAATATTTAAATAATAATCTAAGTTAAAAGGACACTAAAAATGCATTCATTTTTTTTTTATATTTTTCAATTTATTTTAAAAATTAAGAATCTAGGAGAAAATTTAAGTATATTATGTGATAGAGCGGAATTGCAGAATCGCAACAAAGCAATTTTTTATTAAAAGCAACTATTATTCTAAAAATATAAAATATTTTAAAATTAAAAAAATTATAATTTTTTTTAAATTAATTTTTTTTAAATTAATTTTTTTTAAATTAATTTTTATGATTTTTAGCAAAAATTGTTTGCAGGTTCGTATTCAGTATATTAATTTCTATAAGAAATATATATTGATTATGAAATTAAAAAAAAAAATTAAAATTTGTCAAAATAAAATCAATATAATTTATATATATTTTTAAGCATTGTGAATATACTTATTATATAAGTTTTTTTAAATAGCTAATCGATAAATTAGTTTTACTAAGAATAATCAATCTTTCGTTGATATTCATTAGTGTTATTAACACGAAGATGTAATCATATTTTATATATATAAATCTAATTCAAAAGAATAAAATGCCATAATACAATTAGTAATTCGACATTTTATTAATTTCAATATTATTTAATTTCAATATTAATTCAATATAGGAACAAAGGAAACTGTAGGTATATCATAATATTAGGCAAATTATGAAAAACTATTGATCAAAATGTATCTTCTTCCGGATTAATTTTAATGTATTGTGACAAGCAGATATTTTGTCTTGTAGCGCAGGTATTCGGTGATTATAAAGCAATATGCGCAGTAAAATATCAAGAAATAGATTAGTTACTAATACATATAGATATGGGATTTATTAAATATCAATCAATACGTTGATATTATATGGTATCGCCATATCATATAAGTAGGTACGATGTGGTTGTGCATTGCAGTTTCATAGAAAATATGCTGTTAGCTTAAATAACTATACGCATGGTACATCATTACTTTATACCACGTCAGTCCAATAGCGATGTCGTGTATTACCGACTTATTATTGAATCAGCTCGATTAGAGCAAAGTTTAAAGAATCAGTCACTGCCAACTCTATTTTTTCGGCACTTTCCTAAGAACACAACATACGAGCAATTCATACGAAGATATTCCAGGAAAATGCCGCGTACATTGTATGCCATACATATATTTAGCGATGGCAGTGAATAGAGTAAGCCCTCGTTTTCGAGCGACT